GGTCATTTTTGGGCAAAAAGCATGGGCTATAGCCATATCCACAGTTCCGTTGTATCGTTATGTTGTATATTTTACTCATGTATACATTTGATGGTTTTATCACTTTATAATTAATGACAACTAAAAAATAAGTAATCCTCTTGCTTTTATTTGTCATATTATTTATTTTTACAGATGAAACACTGATATGTACTCCTTGATCAAGTCTATTAAGAGTATTTGAAACATCTCTCACTGACATACTCCAAGGTACATTCCAATAAATATCTAATAATACTGACAGCATTGTACAGGAAATAATTTACAAGAATATAATTGCTCATTGTTCAAATGAGACCAAATAAAATAGGGCATTTGCATGGTGGCGTCTAGTATTAGAGCTCCAATTGCCTTACTATTCTCATGAGGGATAAAAAAATTTGAATAAGAAAGAAAATCTGTAAAGCGTCTTGGAAGTGGGAGTCAAATGACACCATCATGCAAACGTCCTATTGGTAACACGATAATTCACAGATAATCGATGCATAAAATTTGGAACTTTAATATTACAAAAATAGTTGGACTGCTGGCAGTAAAAAATGCTGGCATTTAAATCACGCCAATGTTGAGGGTCAGTTGTTAATAGTACTAGCTTTGTATACTGGTGATGCTAGTCGAGTTAGCCTTAGTTGATGACGATGGTTTATTTGCATGATTTGTTATACTAAAAACAAATTGCTGACAACCAACTTTTATGTAGCTACCATGGTGAAGTAGCGCAGTGCCTTCCCAACCGGCTCCACTGCTACCAATTAAATTAGAACTGCTTGTTGTACAGTTGCATGTTTTGGAGATTTTTTGAACCCCGAAACCAACAGTTCGACGAGCCACCTTTGAAGTAATTCTGGATTCTGCTGATTTGATTAGTTTCGACTTGGCGACTTTGGTGGGATCAAGGTCTTTGGAGGAAGTAATGTTACGATTTGGTTTATCAGAAAAATCACAGGAATAGAGAACATTGTCGACGTATGTTCCATGTTCGCTGTAGTTAATCAACTCATACTGATCAGAAGTCTATGTGGAAGAAAGAAAGAAAAGGAATAATAAGAAAAAATAAGCAAAAATTCACATTAAAAAATTTTCCCACTCATTCACTGCCTACCACAAATTAAGCAATGGCAAAGGTCATCTTAGATGACACCCTAGCCTTTTTCTTATGTACATGTTTATTTTGAAGTGGGCCTTGTGCAGTTTTGCAGGTTTTGTAAATTATGCGTGTTTACTTGTCTAGAGTATAACTAGACGGTTTTATATGGTCTTCCGGGGAAAAAGTTGTTTTGCCCCCCCCCTCCCCCACCCAGCCACCCCAATAAGCCTTTTCATAGTTTAAGAATCGATTCCACTGTGCATGCAATTTTATCCCGAATTTATCACCTTCTTTTGTCTAAACCTTCTTTTGTCTAAACCTTCTTTTGTTCTTAATCAAACAAAAGAAGGTGAGAAATTTGGGATAAAATCACATGCGCAGTGGAATCGATTCTTAAACTATGAAAAGGCTTATTTCTTAGCCATGCTACCGGATTGATATATGACAAGCTGAATAAGGGAAATACTGACTTATTTCCTATCGACTCTTACCTCATCGTAGAAAATACAGCAGTGCTTTTCTGAGATGAAGTTACAATGACTGTAGTCTTGTAGGCAAACATCTGTGTCAACGCCTGAAGAAACAACACATTACATCTTATTAGGGACAAGGACAAACTGCAACCCGTTCGTTCAGTTGGTTTGGAACAGGTCTGGTGGGGTAGGTCATGGGTTTAAGCTCCTGCAAACTGACCAACACTCAAAAACATATATATTTTTTAAATGTCTTAAAATATCGGAGTAGAAGGTGCTGTCTTTGCTCTAAAAATATGTGCAAATGATTCGACCTTTGCCATGGCTCGGATGACCATGTAAAATGGTGATCCCATCACTTAGAGATGTTAAACATAGAGGGCCACAAGTTTATCAGTGCCTAGTTGGCAACTGTTCATGTCATCCTCTCTAAACAAAGATGATTCTTATTAATATTATTAATAATTATTATTATCATTATCATTGGCTCAGGAAGTACCCCATGGCACTAATGGATCCCTTGGAATGCTTGATACTGGTTGATTACTTCTATACAGAATTATGCTGTATAGCACACCATTAAGGATAAGGTGCATTCGTTAAAACTATTATTTGTCATTTATTCTTGGAGATATTTGAGTACAAAATCCAGGAATAGACCCTCCCAGAGGTGGTAGTTACCAGGTTACTACAATCACCCTCCCCTTCCTCAGGCTAAATCTTGCCTGTCAAAGCTCATCCCTAAATGTTACTATGATGCTACCCTATTGTATCAAACATTACTAAGACCACCTACTTCTTCCAAGTGAAAGGCATTTATGGAGCATAGACATCGGAGGTCCAGCTCCTGTGAGGGGGCACAATACTGCTATTGATCTACCTGACGGGACAGCTGGAAGTAGACAACAGAATGTATGAACATTTGACAAGTCAACAAATCATGATCTCCACTCCCATTAGTTACCCTCATATCCCAGAAGCTTAGCGAATAGACCTAATCCACTGTTTTCCCATTTCAGACCATGCGTCATTCCCTAGAGTATCATTACTTCGTTTAACGGTTGTGCATGAGAAGACTCATGAATATGGATACAACTCAAACAAAGAGTATCATTCTCTAACAGAGTGTCAAGTGGTCTGAAACGGACAAAATATTATGCCCAAATCTCAAATAAAACTCTAATCCTCCAAAATTGATTATAAACTGTCCTGTAAATATCATCAAAAATTAAATGCCACATAATCCTTATATAGTACTCTTCAAACCAGATACTGTGTATACTGAGAAACTGCTGCAAGGGTGATTGGTTCAATCACTATTGTCTGAGTCAGAACCACCAATTGCTTATGCAGCAAATGATGGAACAGATTACTGCTACTACTATGACGTCAAGATAACATTAGAGACATGCAAGTCAAACACATTTACCTGTATGGTTGGGTGAGACTACTGAATCTTTTAGTCCATTGAAGGTGATTTTCCTGGATGTTACTGGACTTGGTGGTACAGGCTAGCAACACAGTTAACAATTTTGTAAATTATTCCCTGTGTGGGTGGTGGTGGGGGGG